GATCTAAGGATACCGTCATGTAGACCTCGTAGCCCACAGTGTTTATGCTTTTGACACGCTCACTCTTGTGACAAGAAAACCCATTCTCCCACAACCTGCTCTGCTTTGACTATTTACCTGAAAACCTGTTAGTCATATTTCTCAAAAAAGTATCTTTATTTTTTAAAACTGCCTACAGAAATGCTGCACATTGATATATTTTTCCAGCATCTTAAAAATCCTTTTTTAAAAATATGTCTGCACTCTTGCTCTGTTTTTGACTTCTTGTGCCACTTTTTTAGCTAACTTGTCACTTAGCTGTTACCCCTTTCTACTTTTTAGATACGGTTTTCCTACTTTTGGTTTTATTAACTGTCTGCTTATTTTTGCTTTTAGCCGATATTTTTGTTATGTTTAGTTTCCATGCTTTAATTATAGCTTTTAGCTGCAGTATCTAATCTTATATTCTACCTGTTCTTTTAGCTACCATTTTCATATTAGGATTTAGATACTTGTCTCTTCTTTTTAAGCTACCATTCTGCTTCGTGTAGCTATTGTTTGGCTACTTTATTTAGGCTTTTAGCTACTGTTCTGCAAATTCTAACTTTTACTACCATGATTTCTATTAGTACTTTCAGCCATGGACATACAAAATTTGAAGATTTAGATCCGGTCTTGCTTATTTTAGCCCCCCTCTCATTTTAGGTTTTAGATGTTTTCGTCTGATTTTAGTTTTGTATTAAGTTTAACCTCAGTTTCAGCCTCAGCAATCATTCAGAACTTTGGCTGAAAATGCATTTTATTTATTTTAGATGTAAAATAACATGTTCTTTTTAATTGAGCATCTATCATTACACATAAAAAAACTGTTGCTGTAGGTTTATTTTATGAGCAACAGCTGTGATAAACTCACCACTTCCTCTGGGCAGAGCCACCCCTGACAGCGCCTCCAGCACCGAGCTCTTCCCCGAGCTCTGGTCTCCTATCACGGCTATAGCAGGCAGCGCCAGGTCCTTCTCCACCCCCAGAGAGCGGAGAGAGTCGATCAGGTCAATGCAGGGACGGACCTTCTCCTCGTACTGCTGGTTCAGAGTGTTCATYGCTGCTGCTAGAATGTCCTTGTGCCCGGTGAATGTRCTGTGATATACTGTAYAACCAACCGGATGGACTCCTGTTCTTATAGAAGTTAGGTTTCGTTTTACCAACCAGTGATGCTGCCCTGTTTCGTTTTACCAACCAGTGATGCTGCCCTGTTAGACCAGTTAAGTTTCTTTTTCCACTAAACACAAATGAAGACAGTAGCTTTCTCGGATTTCTGCACCAACCCCCACCCTGTCTTTCAGCACAATATTTAAAGGTATTTTAGTTTCTGTTTGCAGTTTCCTTCAGTGGTGGACAGTAATGGAGTACATTTACTCGAGTACTGTAATTAGGTACATTTTTTGAGTATCTTTACTTGAGTAATTATTTTTTTGGGGTACTTATTACTTTCACTCGACTACATTTCAAAGGCAAATATTGTACTTTTTACTCCACTACATTTCTAGGAAGCTTTTAGTTACTCGTTACTTTTGGGTCCGCATAGCTTTGTAATCAGCTCTTGCTGTTTTTCTTTCTTGAAATGCAATTGGCCACACTATGTTACTCATGGGGAACCAATCACAGTTGTAGCTCACATCTAGGATAGATTTGGAATTACATCTTCTTCATTAACGGTCGTGAGCTGAGCTCCTACATTTCAAACAAATGGTAAATAGACTGAACTTATAGAGCGCTTTATCAAGTCCCTACGGACCCCATAGCACTTTACACTTACAGATATTCACCCATTCACACACACATTCACACACTGATGATGGTAAGCTACATTGTAGCCACAGCTGCCCTGGGGCACACTGACAGAAGTGAGGCTGCCATACACAAGCACCACCAGACCMGCTGACCACCATCAGTAGATAAGGCAGGTGAAGTGTCTTGCCCAAGGACACAACGACAGAACCCAGCAATGAAGACGATTGAAGAGAATAGAGAAACCAGCACAC